CAAATGGTTTGGTTGAAATGTAATATATAATCTTTATTATATAAATGAAATCATTTGCCCGAGTTTACATAGTATTCGTTAAAGCCAGGAGCACTTCTGTTTGCATTTGCATCGCGAACCATTTTTATACGCTTACTCTCTAATGGATGCAATTTTTATACCCTTTCACATCGACGCAATTTTTAGATGTTTCTCTGCCCATCGCTTCTATGCTTTATTGATGTTTATGTAAACAATGTAATCATTTGATTACTTATTCAAACTATATGATATCAAGAGACAGTCTAGGTGTTTAAGGCCCACGTAGATATAGTTAGTCGAGGTTTATTAAAAATCCATTTATCGGATACAATGATCTATTTGGGCTATTATTTCATGTTCTTTATTGTTTTGGTTTCTACCTTTACATCGTTCAAGAACAAATGTACCACGTGCGGTGAATGGGGAGGTATAAACATCGAAGCTTTCCTTGGCCGTAGATAAGGAAATGCGACTAAAATAGGCAAAATAGAGCTTAACAACGAACTCATTAGAAATTAAAATGATATTATTTAAGCGATAACGAAAGGTACATCGATCGATGCCTGCAACCCATTTAACCAACCGAGCATCAAATTTTCTTTCGAGTTTATTTTGAAATAAATGCGATAAGTCTTTAGTAATTTTTGTTGTCTGAAGTAAACTCCGACTTTTAAATTGATTTCAATAAATGGAAGTGGCTTATACCGAGTTGAATCAGGCAATGTTCAATATCTTCCGGAAAATATCATTGCTAAATATAGTTCATCCAGGGAGTTCTAAATGAAGATTACCCTACAGAAATGGTAATATGAAGTAATTAGTGAATGTGCACGAGAGCAAAAAATTTTAAAGATTCAGTTCCAATAGGTACTTAAACAGTAATGGCAAATGTGCGAAATATATTGCCATTATGATGGACAGTGAATAAGTTTTGCTTTTAGAAATTTTCACTTTCTACGGTTTTTCGGATAAACACTAATTCCTTCCGTATATATTACTTGCTAAAAAACTCGTTGGAATAGATGTTGTTTTCGTATGGGTAACTTTTATAGCCGCGTCCTGAGTAACATTACAGGGAATTATGACAAAGTTGATATTGAAGTGTTTTATTGCGACTATTCTTTGGCGATTAGCAAAACTGATATGAAGTCATACGTTTGTTTTCGTCTTATCTTATTTTCTCTTTTGTCTATTGTTTTAGCTTACTCGTTCAGCAATTGAAATTAAAACTTATCGTTATATAGGATAAGATTTGAAAGATAGGCCGAGAAGGTCAAAATTTGGTATAGTTAATTTTTTTTTATCTGTATATGCACACTACAACATGGAAATAAATTGCATGGATAGATAACAGACAAGGAGACAGACAGACTTATATCAATTCAGAAAATGATGCTAAATCGATCGGTATAATAAGAGTTAGGTCTAAAGGGAGCTTTTCCACGTGCTATATACGTCCGCACTAACTGAATATAGCTTGTACCACAAGTGGTGTACGGCATACAAATAAAGCCGATTTTTACTTTGTTGCTTCTTGCGAACTTCAATGATTCCTCAAATTTTGTACTTTCACTAGTTTTGATCAAAATGCAGTAAACGTGGGTGTACACATACGTGGGTATATAGAATTTAATTATGAGTTCGCGACATATTAATTTTTATACGCATAGGTACATGAAGCTTTATAAAAGAAGTAATAGATTGTATAAAAATTATTTATTAAAGGCAGCATGACTAAAAGCGTGTGCATTTTAGACCCATTAGATATTTGAAAGTGGTTGAAAGCTTCCTTATCAAAGACACAAGTAAAACAATACGTCTTCTTCCGAAAAAAACCATTTTGAAGCTTTGAGCAGCGGTACAAGTTAGCCGTTTGAAGAGCACATATAATGCCTTTTGGGGCCTTCGAATAAGTGCAGCTCCGTACGGAAAGGAGGCAAATACGAGCAACTTGCTTGCACTGTCCGCGGCGAAGGGATCGCGATAAGTAGCGTAAAGTGTAGAATATGGTAAGCACAAGGAACTAGGATGTTGACAAAGGGACACGTTACTAGTGGCGATAAACCGGAACTTCTATAAGGTTAATCTTCGTGGGATCAGGTGGGGCTAGTTCTGCTTACAAAATCAAAAAAATAAACCGCTCTAGTCGAGGTTGAAGTCTATAGTTAACGCATTTCCGTCGAAAAACAGGCACAATATGTTGAGAGTGGCGATATCGCGATCGCTCAGCAGGATGACATTCGGTTCCACATGGCTAATTTCGCTCTGAAAAGATTAGCGGTACCCTACTGGCATGTGATTCATACTTTGGCTTCATTTACAAGAAATCAGTCTCTATGAGTTATTGCTAGTTTCCAACGGTGAGCAATCCTCTGTTGGAGCAATGACTCCACTTGTAAAGCCATTCAAAAAATGGGCCCTTTCCGAAGATATTTCATATTCTGGCTATAAATTATGCTTCGAATGAAATATTTATTTTACCATTCTCCTAAGCTAAAGGATTTTTTAAATAGAACAAGTAAGAATACTATAGGTGGACAAAGCCGCCGTTAAATACCCTACAGCACTTTGCCACTTTCGTTCTTTCATTTTCGCGATAATATATCAAAAATTTTATAATTCTTTTTTATAAAAAGCCCTCATATTGAAGGTTGCCAAAGAGATCAGCTGACGCGGTCCAATTATAAAAGAATTAATTTACTTATTAAAGGTGTTATTATTTTTCAATTATTTCCGTCATAAAACGCTACAAATTAAACTTTATCTCCGCATAACGGCTTGCTTTTCGCGAGAAACCCTGCATATGTTGCATTCTAAAAAATAAACCTTGAGGATCCAAATTTCTTAAAGTTAATTTTTACAGGATGTTGCTACTATAGACCAATTTTTCATAAAAAAAATATCTAAAATGAGATATATTTGCCATGCAGAGGCTCATTTTGCATTTGAACCGCTCTATGATGTGGGATCCGAAAAATATGCCTAACATGTAAAGGTTCAGTTTCCGGACGAACGATCATATGGCAGGGGGTTCAAAAGATTGCTTCTTCCGGCCTGAGTTGTTCACTCCAATTTAGAGTTCCGAAATGCTATTACTCAGCAGTATAGGTTGCGAGATTATGAAAGTCGCTTTAAAATTTCGATCAACAACTTTTGAAAATAAGGCGTTGTGTGTGGATTTTCAGTAATGCTCTCTCTGGGGCCGAACGACATCACTGTACCAAATTTCATCGTAAAATCTCAAAAATCACGACTTGAACGCAAAAATATATGCTGTACAAACAGTGCGAACTCTACACACGCTGCAACAATTGGTGCAGCGAGTAAAAAGATTTTTGTTCATATTCAATACTTGAGATGGACATCGATTATCAATGATAATCTACTCCTATTTATTTTGTGATAGCGTTATAGCGATGTATATAGTTTTTGTAACAATTCTTCAACATGTTACATTTCGTTTGGAAATATTTTGTTATCGTCGCTTGCGTAGTAAGTCATCTTTTTAGGCTTTTTGTCTAAGCTTTAAGTTGTCAAAACCGGCAGAAGAGAGCTTTTAGTTCAGGTTAAAACCTCTCATTTGTAATCCATAATTCATTTTGTTTTCTTTCTCAGCTCTGCTGTATCACCAAAAAAAATTCACCATGGATATTGTTATACACCAGGATGAGATTTCTGTGGCCCAGATTATAATTTATGCTTCGGCATCTTTTTTAACGGTCTCTATGATAGGCTTGGCATTGTATACCACATGTTCTAAGAAATACCGCTTAAATTGGTTTGAGAAAAATCTATTGGAATCCGCTAACGTTAAAGAGGAAGATGAACAGTGCCGCCATATGCTGATAGCTACAGCTTCTGGTTGCAATGTGGACAATGTTAGTGAGTGTTCGCGTAAGGGCAATCAAAGTCCAACTTCAATTAATACCGAAGATACTACCACTACATTTTGGGTACCATCAGCGGCTAAGACAGTGCAACAACAGGTTTCATCATCAGGCGAAGAGTCACCACCGCCCGACACACCCACGTCACCTACTGGTAGTCTTAAATCAAACTCGTTATCAATGTCTTCGGCCAGCTCTCTGCCTGTAGGATGTTCTGATAAATGTATAGGCTTGGCTACTACACGACCTAAGGTATCGTCAATGCATGCTAAATTGGACTATACGAAAATTGATATGAATTTATATCGTACGGTAAGAGGAATGAGAAAATTAAGCAAAACTATGATATTTATGCTAATCATGGAACGTTTCATCTAGAATTCCTTGCAAAAAAGTGACACGGGCCAACTTGATAATAGCAAGGGCAGTCTCCACATGAGTATAACATATGATCCAAACGCTGGCATGCTAACTATAAGATTGATAGAGGTTGGTTTAACTAATTCCCCCATATAATTAATATTTTAGATGTTAATACATATTTAATCCTTCAAATAATAGGCTCAAAATTTACAACCGCGCGATTTTAGTGGCACTGCAGATCCTTACGCTAAGATACGTTTATTACCGGAAAAGAAAAATTTCTGGCAAACTCGTATACACAAAAAAACTTTAAATCCTGGTATACAAAAGAAATTTTTAGAATTTTTATTTGATATACAATCTGTTAGAGTAAATTTTCTTTTGTAATAAATAGTTTTCGATGAGGATTTTGTTTTTGAAGAGAGTCCTAAAACTATCAGCAGACGTACAATTGAAGTACTTCTATACGATTTTGACGCTTATTCACGGCATGTTTGCATTGGCGGCATCCAAATACCTTTGGCTAGCATCGATCTAACCGGGAAGACAAAAATTTGGACACCTTTAGGCTCTTGCTCGGAACAAGTGAATACCTTCGTAATTGCTTTGTAATTAATGAAAAATTTCATTTTTAAAACGTTTTAAAGGATTTCAAAGTAGACCTGGGCGATGTTATGATTACCTTGGCTTACTTACCATCAGCTGAACGTTTAACCGTAGTTATCATTAAAGCTCGTAATTTGCGCATAGTTGATGACTCTCGTAACTCCTCAGATCCTTATGTAAAAGTCACTTTACTGGCTGGCGGCAAGAAGATTAAAAAACGCAAGACCGGTGTTATACGTAATAACGTTAATCCAGTTTATAATGAAGCTTTAACTTTCGATATCGGCAAAGAACTGCTAAAAGCTGCTAACATTGAATTGACTGTAGTCCATGATAGTTTGTTAGGTAAGCAATGAAATGAAAATAATTAAAAACTATTTGTTAAAAATTTTTCAATTTCAGGTTCCAATGAAATATTGGGCCGGGCTGTTATAGGCGGTGACCCAGATATACGTTACGAGGAAAGAATTTTTTTTGAAGAAATGTTTCGTTCAAAAAGTGCTACAGCTCAGTGGATACCGTTGCAGGATGTAATCTTACATAACAGCAAAGCCATTAACGCAAACTAAACTTTTTAAAGCTTAAAAAGGCTTCGACAGAAAGTTTTCTATGTTCTTGATATGGATAACATGTAAAGTTTCTACGATAGTGAAGAAATTTCCCAAAGAATCAGTTTGATAGCTACTGCTTTCTTAAAAGTCGCATTAAGATGTTAGCGATATTAGCATTCTGCAATGCGAACAGCAATTCTATTGGGGCGATGTTTTCTTTTATAATTTGAAACTAATTCTTTTGAAACCTTGTTAGCGTGCCGTGATTAGATGTTAGCAAATTATGTCTGCTTGCTTTTCTGTCCAGCGTTAACAACTGAAATATAACCGAATTGACGGAAATCCTGGAAGGAGAAGAGTTTAATTGTGTAGGCATGCTTCATATTGAATTAATTCTATATATACATATAATAACAAACATTTATCAGTACTTATGTATCTGTTAACTAATTTTGTTTATTAATAAATAATATTTATATAATATATAAATAGCAGCGCGCTGATTTTTGCTTAAAAAAACTTTAAAAATTTAATTTGCTGAGATTATCGTCCGCTTGGATCGAGAGCCAAGATGATAGATGATTATCTTGAAGATTCTTTTATTGGGAATCCAAGACGTCATCTCAGCAGATCCACATTTAGCAAAGTTCATTTATATGACCAAAATTTTATTATTTTTGACATTGTGTTGTCATAAAAAAAGTACATATTAGACCCTGTCTCTGCATAAAGGTTTGCTTTTCATGGAAACTCTTAGACATATGCTAAGATATAAAAAGCAGATCTATGTGATCCGAATTCCCTAAAGTTAATTTTTACGCTACATTGATACCACACACCAATTTTCGCGATAAAGTACCGAAAACTGCACATATTTGCCATATAAAGGCTTATTTTGCATTTTAAATCTTATACGAAGTGACACTTAAAGGCTAGGCCTAGGCCAAGGGTTTAAATCCGGCAAGGTTAATTTTTATGTCTACCTGCCCTTAGGCACCCATTGTGGTCACGAAATATTGAATATGACACCCTAATGAAGATAGCTTTCGTTAGAAAAATCGTATGAGGATGGCGAGGGGTGAAGTAAAAAGTGCCCCATGTGCAATTGTTTCATATCAATTTAGAACGCCGAAATACTATTACTGAGCGATGTTTGAGGAGTTTTGAAAATTTGCAAATTTTTGTCATACAACCACGTTTCAAAATAAACTGCTATATGGGAAGTGGCCGAGAAGCTGTCCGATCCAATCAGTAGGTTTGCGCTTGAGGTAAAAGACATCTGTAATAAACGTTAATAATAAATGACCATGAAAAAAAATTGATCTTTTGTAAGAAAATTGTAAATGGATCTTCCTAAGAATGGTAAATAAAAACTTTGTTGTGCGGTGGCCATGAAAGTGAAATGTAGCGGTTTTCTGTTTGATGGTGTTCATAGCGAGGTTCCACGTTGACCAATTGCCAAGCAATCAAGTGTCCTGCCTTCCAAATTATAGGCGTTCGTTGGAGTGGATCTTTCGTTGTTTCTTTTGTGATATTCTTGCCTCGGCTTAATCTGCCAGATTTCTTGCCTGTTTGCTACTCTTCTGTCCTTACTTTCTGCAGACTTTCCGACTCTTGCATTATAATTATTGAAAATTCCGTTGCTTGGGTATAGCTGTTTGTTAATTTCGATCTTTAGAAATCTTTTCTTCCCTCTTCCTTTTTCCTCTTTGTTGTTGCGGTCCTTTCATTTCATTCATTTCTTTTTCATTGTTATGGCCATATAAAGGCGATTTTTACTCTCTTATGACGTTTTTATACAGTGCACGTATATGATTGACTTAACTTTATGTCAAATATCTTGCGTCCTAACATACGTCCAATGCTTAATGCTATTTGAACTGTTTTTATTTTGTTATTAACTTTTTGTTCGATTTGTTTGTATTACTAAAATTTCATAAAAGCTCCTATAATCCCCGAAGTGTTTTTCTCTTATGTCTGTTGTACCCTAAGATTCTATTCTACTGATTTTGCCCTTCTTTTAGGAGCTCAACTCCCCGTTCTCTTTCCCTTTATGCTGACGAAGTCAACTTTCACAAAATTGCTATTAATTATTTACTTTTTCGCTTACATGATTCTATGGTGACGTTTAAAACGCCTTGAAAAATGTATAAAATCAAGCATATTGATGCAGTTCTTGCAAATTAAGCTGGATATTTGGAGTTTCGTTCTTCTTTATGTTATATGCAAGATTATTCTTTTCGTCAGCTGTCACACTCTTCCTAGATTTTTCTCCATTACCTGCACGATTCCTCTTGTTCTTTTCACTTGTTGTTTCAATTTTATTCGCTGACTGATCGATTCCTTGATTGGTAAGAGGGGATTGTTGCGTTCTCTCATGTACAAAATCAACAAGCGAGTAGATGATAAAGTGCATAGGTTTTTTAAGAATAAATTTACTTATCTGCTACTAAAAGGTTGAGGGTACTTTAAGATTTGTTTTGAGGAGCCAAAGAACCCATAAAGTGTATGTATCAATATAAACAATATTTGTATATATACATGTATCGCTTGGACCGTACGTATTTGTTCATCTGCCTTTGTATCTATCTGCATGCAATTGTTCAAATTCTAAGCGTCGTAACAGTTTATCAAGAGACCCTCGTCTTTTAGGATATGACTTCAGTTTATATTAGTTAATGCGATGAAGGCTACGTGGGTGTGCAACTATATACTGCAAACGATTTTTCAACTCTTTACTTAAAGAAAAAAATGTGTAACTCTTTACTTAAAAAAAAAAAAAAAAAAAAAAAAAAATAATACTTAAATATAATCAAATGAGAAAGAAAAAAAATGCATTTGCTTCTCTTCGGGTGCGGGCGATTCCACTATAACCATACGTACACATATAGCCAATGTTGGTTATCGTAACATTAGCGCCAGTGACGTAAAAATGGATAAAAAGTTAATGCATCACATGTATGCAACACACATATAGTAAATAAAAAACAACCATTGCCTCTTGTAAGGTCAATTAATTATTCCTCTGAATTATTTTATTCCTAACGTTCGATTATCGGGAACATGTTATTCTTGTCATTTCGTTTACACTACTCAGTAGTTGTGGAGAAGGTCGCCTAAGATTCAATTGTCTTTTGCTTCCCGCGAAAGACGGGAACTTTAAATCGTCACGAGAACAGAAAGAGAGCAAACAAAGAAAAGGCAACTAAGTTAGCCTGAAACGAACATTGAAATTTACAAGCACGCTATGGCAGATTCTCTTCACTTACGAATTTATTTGGCTGTTTAAAAGGAACTTCATACTGTGCACTTTTTAGACTTTTACAAGAATTGATGAGGGATCATGTGGATGGATACTAGGAGCGATATTGCGGAGCTATTGACTTCGCTGTTCCCGCTGATTGGTATGAAAATGCCCGAAAGTCTCTTGCGGTTGGATGAGAAAAAAGAATGTTTCAAAATTAACAAAAGAAAGTAGAAAAAACGGAAATGTACCAAAAGTGAGATATAAAAGCAAAACATATAGCTAAAAGCAGTGTAAAGTAAATTTGGTCCTAGAAGTGTGTGCGTGCATGTGTGTCTGTTTTTTCGTTTGTTCACATTGATGCCGACAATATCCTTTCGGTGCTGCTGGGAATACTCTATTTTCGGATACAACACATACACAATAACATATCAATAACTATTGCATATATATGTAAAGAGGTTGTGCTGTACACACTCGTTAACAACGACAACAGCAGCAGCAACATCTCTGGACATTGTTCTATCGCATAATTAAATCTTTTGCTGAAGAACTATAATGAAAAACAATGGCTAAAAATTAGGAGCCAACCATTAGTCAACCATTTAGGAACTGGTGAAAGCCAAAAAACTACATTTGAAAGTCTGATGACTAAAAAAGAAATTGCATTGCAAATGGTTCACTAAAAAAAAAAAAAGGTGAAAGAGCAATGACTTTACTAATACTTCGACTATAAGACAAAAGAGAGTTCAATGCTCTTTCTGTTCGTTTGAATGCCTCACTATAGGGGTCCAATAAATGAGTTTTAAGCACGCGACAATCCAACTTTGTTTAGATCTAGAATTTACTTAAGTCTGCCCCGACTGTACAAACATGTAAAAACGTATTGCTAAGACCATGGTTTTAGTCTATCGGTCTTTCTTACATTCACAAAAAAGTAAAGAAAACTGAAAAGAGGAAAAAAGTTGGCTTTTTACAGTTCCGAGCTGTTCTGCACGTCCGACTGGTCGACCAACCTTCCGTTTGCTTCGCAGCTACTCCCTAAGTTTGTCGTGCGGACAACAGACAAAATGTTCTCCACGCTTGTCTGCGGGAACGATTGCACTATGACGTATCTGTTTTTTCTTTTGTTCGCCATATATTCAAATTTAATGATATTTAACCAATAATGGAATCAAAGCGAGCTTTTTCGATTTTCAAGATTGACTACGCTTAATCCTCTATTTGCCTGAGCATGTATATTTGCCTACACTGCATACAGATTTGAGTAGGGAAACAAAAAGTGAGCCAAGCAGGTTACTTTGAAATCGTTCTTTTGTGTGTTTGAGCAACATTTTATTTTAAATATTAAAACAAATGAATCAACAAATGTGACAAATGAGTTTATTTTTACTCTGTCAACATCACGCAGCGCAATCCTAAGTAATGAATATCTTATGTCATTACCCGTTTCTTCTATTTTTTTTCGTTTCTTTCGACAACTTTTTCGTTACTGTAATTGGGTCATTGGATTGGCGACTACTAACTTAACTAAGGCTGGTGGTATATGTACTTATTGTCTATTATTGTGCAGTTATACACTAATCATTTCGTAAGTTTGAAAAGTTTTCTTGCCATCAATTTTTCAACATTTCTTTGGGATTCGTTTCCACACCATCGGTTCACTAAACGGCTGTCGTTGAAGCGGATTTTATTTGCCTTGAAATTTAATCGCAGTAAAGGATGTCGTGAATACGGTGAACACTAGATAACTTTCTTGTCCGGTCGAAGGCTCTGTTGCTCTCTCTTTATAGTTTAAAAACCGTAGTAGCGTATCGCATATATTGACAAAACCCACTGATAACGAAATATAATAGAATTTAACTTGTGTTCATTCAGTTAGATAACAGCAAACTGCGTTAAAGCAACAGCAGCAAGCCCTTCTTCCTCTGTTGGTGACTTATCAAATTGTCGTAACATCATTGTTCGTATTTTATTATAGTAAGGTCTGTATTGTTAAATATTCTTGTTGCTGCCGTTGCTGT